AACCCAGAACATTCTACCACCTTCACACTCCCCCACTCTCAAATATTCTGCCTGCAAAAACCATCACAAGACCATTCAGTATGGCTTCAGATAATGATCTTAAGTTGGAATGGACCTCCAAACGTGTCCGTGATACGTTCCTTCAATATTTCAAAGAAAATGGCCACACTTTTGGTAAGTATTCTTTTCGGGGCAATTTCTCGGTCAAAACTGATCATATTAAAAACCGCCAGTTGCCTCGTCCCCCGTTGTTCCTCATTCTGATCCAACCTTGCTATTTACCAATGCTGGAATGAACCAGTTCAAATCGATCTTTTTAGGAACGGTGGATCCTCACTCTGATTTCGCAAACTTGAAAAGTGCAGTCAACACTCAAAAAGTCAGTACTTTAACCCTACCATTTTTAGCTAATTCTAACACAACCTGTAGTGCATTCGCGCAGGAGGAAAGCATAATGTAAGTGCAATGCGCATGATCGCCACCAGAATTGAAAGGCTGGGTTAGTCGAAGAGACTTGAGCATCTACTGATTCTCGCAAATGTAGGACCTCGACGACGTGGGCAAGGATAGTTATCATCATGTGAGAGAACGCCACCAAATCCGTGGCTTTTATGATGCTAATACACAATTGATTATTAGACGTTCTTTGAAATGCTCGGCAACTGGAGTTTTGGGGACTATTTTAAAGAGGATGCGATTCGCTATTCTTGGGAATTGTTAACCAAGATCTACGGTTTAGATCCCGGACGTCTCTACGTTACCTATTTCGAAGGAAATAAGGAAGGTGGTCTAGAGCCAGATCTCGAGGCCAAAGATCTGTGGAAAGCCGTTGGCGTTCCGGAGGATCATATTCTCCCAGGCAACATGAAGGACAATTTCTGGGAGATGGGTGATCAAGGCCCATGTGGCCCTTGCAGCGAGATTCACTATGACCGAATCGGTGGACGTAATGCTGCTCATCTAGTCAATCAAGATGACCCAAATGTATTGGAAATTTGGAACAACGTTTTCATCCAATACAATCGTGAAACAGATCGATCCCTGCGGCCATTGCCCAACAAGCATGTCGACACCGGAATGGGGTTTGAGAGATTGGTGTCTATCTTGCAAAATAAGTCGTCAAACTACGATACAGATGTGTTCACTCCCATATTCCAAACCATTCGAGATGTTACCGGAGCCAGGGAATACCGTGGATCCTTCGGTAGTGATGATTCTGATGGTATTGATACTGCCTATCGTGTCATAGCGGATCACGTTCGGACCTTGATGTTTGCAATCTCAGATGGTGCGGTTCCAAATAATGATGGCCGCGGCTATGTCATCCGTCGTGTTCTCCGCCGGGGTGCTCGATATGCCAGAAAATATTTTGGTGTCGAGATCGGCAACTTCTTCTCAAAGATTGTTCCAACAGTCGTTGATCAACTGGGCGATATGTTTCCAGAACTGAGAAGGAAACAACCGGACGTCATGGAAATATTAGACGAAGAAGAGATGTCATTTGCTAAGACTCTGGATCGCGGCGAGCGGCAATTTGAACATTATGCCCAGCAGGCTAAGGCAAAGGGGGCCGACAAATTGCACGGCGCCGATGTTTGGAGGCTCTATGACACGTTCGGATTCCCGGTCGACCTTACTCGTATAATGGCAGAAGAACGGGGCTTGCAGATCGATGACCGGGAGTTCGAGGAAGCGCGGTCACGAGCAAAGGAAGCAAGCAAAGGCCAGAAGAAAACTTCCGCTGAGACGGTCAAGTTGGATGTTCACGATCTGGGCAAGCTCGAAGCCATGAATGACGTCCCCAAGACTGATGACACTGCCAAGTTTGGAAAGGGTAACATTACCGCCCAAGTGAAGGCCATATACCAGGGCAAGATGTTCCATTCATCTACGGACGAGGTGCCCGACGGCGAGCAACTTGGAATCATCCTTGACCGAACGAACTTCTACGCTGAACAGGGTGGGCAAGAGAATGACACGGGTAAAATTGTCATCGATGGACAATCCGAGCTTGAAGTAGGTGATGTTCAGCTTTATGCTGGATACGTCCTGCACACTGGTTTCATGAAATATGGCTCCATCTCAGTAGGTGATACTGTCATCTGCGAATATGATGAACTGCGCCGTTGGCCGATCAGGAACAACCACACTGGAACGCATATTCTTAACTTTGCGCTCAGAACTGTTTTAGGGGACGGTGTGGAGCAAAAGGGTTCCCTCGTCGCAGCGGAGAAGCTGAGGTTCGACTTCTCTCACAAGTCTGCTATTTCGGACAAAGATCTGGCTCGGATTGAAGAGATCTCGACTGAGTATATTCGACAAAACTGTACTGTCTACTCTCAAGAGCTTCCTCTTGCAACAGCCCGCGAGATCTCTGGAGTTCGTGCCGTATTTGGAGAAACTTATCCCGACCCGGTCCGCGTTGTCTCCGTTGGTGTGGAGCTGGGTGAGATACTCCAGAATGTGAAGGATCCGCGTTGGAAAGAGGTCAGCATTGAATTCTGTGGGGGTACCCATGTGCAGAAGACAGGGGACATTAAAGATCTCATTGTTCTGGAAGAGGGCGGTATCGCCAAGGGTATCCGCAGAATTATCGCTGTGACCGGAGAAGATGCGCATGAAGTGCAGCGTTTGGCAGCGGAGTTCCAAAAAAGGCTTGATCGTTTAGAAGCAATGCCCTTAACTCCAGAAAAAGAGAAGGAGGCAAAGCAGATCCAGGCCGAGCTCAATCAGCTTTCGATTTCTGCTGTACAGAAATCCGCCTTTCGCGAACGTTTCGCACGTATCAACAAGGAGGTTCTCGATGGTCAAAAGGCTCTACAAAAACTCGAATCAAAAGTCGCGCTCGAAACCATAACTAATTATTTCCAAGCCCCGGAAAATCAAGACAGAAGTTGGCTTGTCGCCAAGCTCCCCATCTCTGCGAATTCCAAAGCGATTAGCGAATCTCTAAATTACGTTAAGTCAAAGTTACCCGAGAAGTCGGTATACGTTTTGGCTGCAAGCACCGATCAAGGCCGTGTTGCACATGGCTGTTACGTGTCCAAGGTAAGTCGTTATCGTTATAACTCCGGCCCTATGTCATTGTAACTAATACAATCAATGATTGTATAGTCATCAAGCGAGGCCGGTGCCTCCGCTAGTGAGTGGGCAGCTATCGTTTCTGGTGCAGTCGGGGGAAAGGCGGGAGGTAAAGGAGCTACTTCAGTCGGCAATGGAGTCAATCCCGACAGAGTCGACGAAGCTGTCAGCTTGGCTTCTGATTACCTTGGCAAGTTGAAGTTATAGGTTGTTGGTTATGCTGTAGCCAACATTTAGTGGGATTGACAGAACTTAAGTGACCGATAGTGAAATCCACGAAAGGACAGCTACCTTTTTTTTTCTGGGTTTAATGCTTATGGCTCTTTTCTTTTTATCTCTGTATAACATAAATGGAAAATATCATGCCACTGGAAACTTGATGCTAAAACATCCTTCGATCATTGTGTCACATCTCCCCACATTGCACAATCAGAACATCTTGGTTGGGCTTATCTCGCGTCGTTCTGGTGTTCTCAATCATCCGCACGACATCCATCCCTTCGACCACCTTACCAAAAACAACATGCTTGCCATTCAAAAATGGGGTTGCAGTTGTTGTAATGAAAAACTGACACCCATTTGTGTTCGGACCAGAGTTCTAGGGGAATTAGTCATTGTATAGTTCGATGGATGTCTTGTGGCTCATGGACTTACTGCCATACTAAGTAGGCCAGCATGATCATGCTTCAATAGGAAATTTTCATCCGAGAACCTTGGAGTACCGTAAATGGTACAAGACCCCGTCCCATCTCCATTGACGAAGTCGCCACCTTGGATCATGAAGTCTTTGATCTTTTCCGATGGGATAGGATTAGCATCTCTCCATTCAAACGCCTATTGGGTTCCTCTCATAAACATACTACTCGATGGAATCTGCTATTTTTGTATCCCTGCGGTCGTCCCTGTGCATTTTTACTTTCTCCCGTACAGAACTGGCGAAAGTTCTCTGCTGTTCGGGGCGTAACATCGGCAAATAGTTCCATCTTTATACGACCTAGAGGCTCGCCTGTCACAGTGATATCTCAGTTACTATCCATTTAGTATTCAATTTGTTGCATAGTGCAAGCTTTAATACTGTATGAACCAGTAGCAGCACAACACCAGCGAATCGACATATTGATGGACCTCATTTCAAGTTTTAAATGGACGTGCTTTTGTAGCTTGACTGGGTCAGGAGAACGGGGTTGCAACAGATTGTATCACTTGATGTACATACCTCCTAAGGCTATATCAAAGAAAACCACGGGATTTCTGTCTATATGCGAGGTTGAAGTTGTGCTGTCCATTCTGTCCACCTGTCTGGTTTCCCTTTATGTCGCTGCTGGTATTGTGCAGGCGATATCGACCTTGTTGAAGACTGGGTTCGTGCTAGTAGCTACAAGTGGTTGAATCCTGATGGCCATGACGATGTTTCCTGAATTGGCTGTGTCTGTTTAATTTTACTACCCGTCCGTCCCCGCAGTGGGTTCCGACATGATGGATCGATCGCCTGCCCCCGTGACTCGGACGCCCAAGTCTTAGGTGTCTGTGTTTGGCGACCACGACGTTGGAGTATTTGTTCTCACTTCACCTCCTCTCCCCCCATCGGACTTGGTGAGCATCCAACACCAGATTAGGCTCCATTTTGAAAGCCTGGAAGCTCCAAATATATCGGTGTCAGTGATGACCTTCCCGGGGCGTCCTTTAACATGAGCCTGGGAGTTGGTGCCCTCATCTAGATGAACTTATATGGGATTGTCGACCAACCTCGCAGAGACAATCTATAATTAAGAAGTGTCTTTTTACTTCGTCAATTTGGTACACTGCATTTAGTACGCTGCTATACGCGCAACAATTCCCATTCTTTGACACCCTCTTCGGCATAGTCTATTCAAGTGAACGTTGTCCACCCCTCTCCCCAATCGCCTTCTTCTGTCGACATGTCCTCAACGACCACAGGCTCCTCTTCCAGTGCCACTAGTACAGATCGTAATGGGAATAACAACAGCTCAAGCCCTACTAGTTCGCCTCTACTATTTTTCGTCGCCCTCGGGTTTGGTGTTGTTTTCACCAATCTATGGTATGTCCAAGTTGGTATCACTAGGCTTTTGCTGCGCCAATATGCTTATCTGACCATCGCATTCCAGGATCATCGTTGGTGTGAAATATTGCTTTCGATATAACCAACGCAATCGCCAACTACGCAGTGAAGAGACAGGCGAGCCTATAGATCTGGTCGCCATGCCACGAACGCACCGAAGACGCCGAGAAAAGAAGCTGATGACTATGGACGACGTCAACGAGAGGTTTCCACTGACCAAGTATAAAGCATGGAGGTCATCCCGTGAGAATGAAGGCCTTTCCACTGCAGGCGGGATTTCGGCACCAAATAGCCGGTCGCAAAGCCTCAAGGATGAGAACTACATGATATCTGCTTCGCTTGGCACACCTTCATCCATGCTGGCATCGCCACTCAAAAGCCATCAGCGGGTTGATTCGAACACTTCACAGACGTCTGCACCACTAGAAGACCTGGAGACAACGCTACCACATTCTGAAGAGAAGAGCCAGAGATATCCCGAGCCAAGCCCTGCAAACATCGGAGTAAACGACAACGCCAACATATCAGCCCCGGAGCAGCCCCGTAACCACGCGCTCAACCATGTCATCGTAGAGGATGTTGGAGATCTTGAGGACCATATCCGCACCGCTGTACCTGCCGATTTCCTGGCAAATCCAGGTGATACTTGTGCTATCTGTCTCGATACGATCGAGGATGAAGATGATATACGGGGGCTTACATGTGGACATGCTTTTCATGCTTCTTGTGTTGACCCATGGTTGACAAGTCGACGGGCCTGCTGTCCCCTATGTAAAGCAGATTACTACATCCCGAAACCTCGCGCAGAAACTTCTGAATTGCCTGCTAGTTCAGAACGACAGGGTCGACGTGGCATGACACGAATGACACCTATAAACCCGCCACAGGCTGTTTTTATAGGTGGAAGAGTGAACTTTCTGCGGTCGTCGTCGGGTTTCCCGGAGCAGCATGCGCAACGGCGCCCCTTGACCCACAGAGCGGGCTTCTCGCGCTTGCGCCTTTGGCGAGCGCCTCAATCTAACCACCAGCCCACATCTCCTGTGCCTGACACTTCGTCTACACAGCCAGGTCGGAGGGACCAAAGGTTAGGGATCTTCACTGCATCTTACTTTCCACTGAACTTCGGTTTCCGGGGCAATCGTGCATCGAGAGGAGTTGCGAATAGGAACGCAGACGTCCGTTATTCAGATAACAACCGAACGCTTGGTGAACTTGAAGCAGGACCTTCTATATGAAATAATTACTTAACTTGAAGTCTCATATGTTCTCTGCCTCTCGACATCTGGAATGCCGGTTGGGCAGACTCGTGGTTATCCTTGCACAGGGTGCAGCACACGCCTGCGGCTTTGTACAGTACATTGATGCACCCTCATAGGGTAATGTGTCCCTGCTTGGCTGAGGTCATATCTAATATCTCCTCTCACTGTAATTGATCTCAGCACATGTCGACTTTCTGGCACGGATCCTGGCGTTTGTGGAGACCACTCGAGTTCAGGTCAGACTACTTTGTGCAGGTGAGAAACTGGTAGCATCTGGCTTTTAGCGGGCAATGCATGGCTGGGTATATTGGCGTTGGCATGTTTCAAATGAAATTGGTTTTTTATTTTATTTTATGTTTTTCCCCCTACGTTAACTTGGAATCACGGATCTCAGACGGCATGGCTAAATTCATCATACTGGCCATAGTCTACACACTTGCCTCATCCTCCGGGGTTACTCTCCCAGTCACACGGATGTTGTAGGTTAGATATTGGATACTTCTAGGCCATGTTGACAGGTAAGGTAGCCATTTCAGTGAGTAGTGTGCGACGATGGTTATTGTTGACATTTAGACAATGCAACATTCCCGATCCTTGTCGTCTCAACGTTATCGCTGACCCTATATCCGCGTTATACCATCGGGGGATTCATCTTGTCCAGAATGAAAATATATCCTGAAGGCGGCACCAATGGTCACTATAAAAGCTACCCCAATTGCGAGGATCCTAATGCAAGATTTGTGTGGCGCCCCAAAGATTTCTGCCTTTGATTTCTTTGAACGTCCATATATAACAATCAGTAGCAGCCACCCCACCAGGAGTTACTTGCAATAAGATACGTGTGCGCAGCAAAAGTTGGTTGCGTTATGACATGATGTGTTCGAAGAATAGCAATAGGGCATAGGGGTAGAGGATGCATTGTAGGCGTGTGGGATAGCAACACTGGTATGGGCCCAGGCCATCTGAGCCTCGTCAATGCAACCCTTGGTCACCCTTTGGCGTGAGTAGGATTATAGAATGTAAATAAAATTTAAAGTATATCAAGTTGGATAGCTTGATATTACAGTGGAGAATGGCTGATGTTTTTTAGGCAAAAGACCAGCTACATCAGGACACATTATCTCAGTACTCCGCACATCATGTGAAGTTGGGGAAGCTCTATGGCTGATAAGATGGCTTGGCTCACGTGCTACAGCGGCCGGGCCTACTAACGCGGAATAACACTTTCTGCTCCTTATACTATGGCAGTGGTAAGTATTTCTACAAATCATCAATACTACGGTATTCGCTATACCTCTCTGAGTCTGAAATTGAAAATTGCTGGGCGTAAGCCTTGCCCTGGTCGATTGGTTTAATCCGTTACAACCTATATCAGCAAACTGGGCAATAAAGCTACATTGGTTTTTAGCTCGATTGATGTTTTGAAATGTTTCTCGAATAATCGAAAACGGCGGCCGAGTTCTCTCAATGTATCATGCTAGACGAATACTTCGAAAATCCCAGGTAACATTCCGGATAAGCCAACCATTACCTCGGGATTCAAGCTCGGTCACTATTCGTCAACTACAGGTTAAACGCCCATGGGCCAGGTATGCTGAGCAGCTCATAGTCCAAAGGTGTCGTGGTATCACTTCCTTTACTCACAGGTGCTTCAGGAAATTCATAGCTACCTTTTTTCTGTGTGGGACAGCGCTTCATCTCTTAACTTCACTCGCTATCCTGCGGTTTGATGAGTCGCTCTACGATATTGATCAGTCACCGGAGAATCTGCCAGGCCTCGATGCCTCGTCCAGGACTGGGAAGTTTGACCCGGACGAATATGTTCCTCCCCACTCAGAACATGCCGCTACTATACAAACTCGCTTCCTTCCCCTGAGTTGGCCTCGCTTACAGGAAGGAAACTTTTATGTAGCGACAGACCCTGAGTGGCAAGCGTTTAGGAAACTAGCCCTTGACAAGAACAAGCTCTCGGGTCTGAAAGGTATTTGCGAGCAGATGGTCCTTCAGTCATTTTGAAATTAACCAGTCATGAACATATAGATGAGTTAATTTCGGCTGTTTTGGACGTCTCATCCCAAACACGACTACTTAATTATATGTTGGGGGGGCCACTGTCTGTCGCAGGAGTTTGGCTGGAACACCGATTTCCATACCGTGCACCCCCTGTATACTATCGATCTGGGTATGTATGTCCTGATTAGTACAGTATATTTTGCTCATTGGTACAGACTAGAACTATCTCAGAATGGTCTCGCCTGGGTTTCAAAGCCAATAACTGCAGAAGACGGCGACTGCCTGCACAGATGCATGAGGCCTTTAAGTGTGGCACACGCAATTAAGGATGCTTTTTTGGTTCTGTGGAGCAGACAGATTTCCAGACTTAGCCCAGGTTTGATGGATGAGCAGGTGTCTGGGTCTTTTATTTCTCTAGATGCAAATTTATTGCCCTCAGTATTGCAAGGATCGGATGGACTTGACGACGTTTCTCGGTTTGTGTCACAGCCGCCTCCCCTGAACTTCCAAGATGGCAGCCCGTCGACCAGGGACTGCTCCCATCCACCTACTTCACTGTGCATTACTGCGTTGCAGAAATTACCGCTGCCAAACCTTGGGTCTGGTTCCGACCTACGTATGGCGCTGCTGGCTTTCAAGTGGCGATTAAATTACTGCTGGGCTCGCAACGCGCACACATCTCGTCGCGGTGTCATGTACATTTCTGGTCCTATTGGTATACGAGGCCCTAGGGGGGTGTGCAGAGTGGAGGTGAAGGGGGAGTACGATGTTGTGAGGTCTCAATGGACTGCTATCTCCATGGATATTAGAGATCTTAATCTGTTCAGTCAAAGGGCACTTGGTCCCCGTTAGCAAACCTTATGTCCATTGGCTGTAACTCAACTGGCTTGTGTAGACCACCGATCCCGAAGCGTACCAATCAACCTCAACACCCTGTTATACTTTATGCCCTTAAGCCATTGTGAGATACCAGCGAGAGACATGGTTTGGTGTGTTTGTCAGACGGTCTCTTACAGATTAATTTAGGTTCATGAAGTACTTTCGGAGACCACATATAGAGGGTTCAGCTTCGCAACGGGTTATTTGATGCGGGCATCAAATGAACACTACGGCGTCTCAATATGGATATGTATATCTTCCTTCTACCTGGCCAAAGTCCGTGCCGCCAGCCAAACTACGTACCACCACTTCAGATTCTGCATAAACATGTAGGGCGACTCGAGCGCTAGTTAGTTATCATTGGTCAAACCAAGTGTAGTAAGCTTCAATAAGTGTATACATGAGGATGAACCATTTTTCTTTACTGATGCTCAGTAGCTCAAGTACTATCTTGATTGACAATCAATTACCAAAAAGGTTAGTTAACATTTATCACGGCCGCGCTGGCCATCCATCCGAGTCAGTCACGTATGTTATACCATATCTAAGTCATTGTTCTATGTCAGAATTGCTAATAGATCTTCTTTGATGCTATGATGAACTTTGAAGATTATGAAAATAATGTTTCATGTTATCAGTAGTCCTTCGTATTTATGAAGCGTATAACTTTTTGAGAATATAAAAACTCTTTAAGTTATGAAACAGTATTCTATTCTGATCAGGAAATTTTATAGAAAAACTTGATGAATATGTTTATATATGTACATATATATAGTGATAATTATCACACTGGTTAAGATATATTATCATAAAAAGAACTTGTCTCTTTGTATAGAATCATGTAGATAGCTGACTCGCACGCTACTGTCAGTTAGTTATCTTAGCATATGATGATCTGACTAATCAATTATAACTAACTAGTTAACTAACATAGTTAACGTAAACCACAATCACGCGGCCCATCTTGTAAAGCCATATAAAATTCATCTTTTATAATAAATATAATATCTCAATAACTACACTTTATATAAGTCTACAATATTAAATCAAGATTAATAATAGTAAAATAAATGTATTTAGAGTATTTAAATAATTTTAAATAATTTATTTATATTTAATTCAAGAGTTATCTTAAATTACAAATAAATTACAGGTATTTTATATTACCAGCTGTTATATGTAGTTATTAAAATCTGAAAAAAATGTTAAAAATAATATCTGATTATCTTAATCTATTTTCTTACGATAAAACCATTATTTTCAAAATTGGTTGAGATATTGAAGATTAAAAAATGACTTTTATATGGCAATATCTGATGGGCCGCGCGATTGTACGGGCCGCGCGATTGTGGTTTACGTTAGCTAGACCAACTAGTTAATTGATGTGTAATCACTCTACCCCCGCAGATAAGCACGGACTGTGTAGAGGGGCACTTTCTTTCCAGCTCACTACTACTCAGTATCTATACTTTAAGGACAAGGGTTGACTATAGTCGGTGTAAAGATAATGGCTCTTCATCCCAAATTTTCGGGTCAGAAGTTGTTGACAGCCAACTTACAGCAACCATGGCATACCCTCGAACTATGTATGTTAATCTAATACTGATAATGCTCTTCTGTACCCCAATGACTAACGCATTGATGATCGAAGACCTTGATTATGTCTGCCCTGTTAGTACTTATACAGCACCCTACGCAGGAAGAGTGTACTAAATATACTACTTCCAGTACTCCGCAAAGCTATTCAGCACATTCTACACATCGGTGAGACCAATTATCTTACAAAATTATCAATCAAGACTTCAGGTTGTCTTTCGTCAGCACATTCAACCTTGGCATCCATCATCCACTCTGACGCATGAAGCTGGTGCGGCGGTGTTGAAAATAGCTCCAGACAAGTTCTGGGAATTTAGCGCTGCACTGTTCAGTCACCAAGAAGAATTCTTTGATGTCAGTGTTGTTAACGAGACACGCAACAAGACATATCAGAGACTTGCGAAGATAGCCGCGACAGTTGGTGTGGATGAACACGAGATGCTCGAATTATTGAACATCAGCGAAGTTATTGCTGATGGACAGTTGAATACCGGCAACAAGGTGACGAATGATATCAAATTGATGGTCAAGGTGCGCCATTGAAATATTGTTACTGTGCTCAACATTGAATCCTAACTAGATATAACAGTCAGGTCGAACAATCGGCGTCCATGTATCTCCGACCGTATATTTCAATGTAAGCAGTCTCATTATTAATTGAGCGATTTGGTGCACTGATTCCGCTGGTTAGGGCGTCGAGGAACCAGGTATCAGCAGCAGCTTCACGGCCACACAATGGGAGCAATGGCTGGCCATGAATGTAGCGTAGGAATTGTGCTCTAAAAGAGAGTGGTATGATAACAGGAGGTATTCAAGTTCAGATGATAATTGTGGGCATTCTTTGGTAGCAAGGAGCATATCTCAACAGGATGAGATTTCTGAATGCAATCTAATCATATGGGCCTTCTTGCATGCGTAGCTCCACTATCAGTGACTGTAGTTTTTGAATATCGTATTGGTATTTCTGAGGCGACGGGGGCAAGGTTGGCATCGGGAATGTTCCAGCTGACGAGTTACTGTGATACTGGCGGCTGATAGTTCAAGGGGCGCCTATATGCGTTGGTTAGGAATAGAGAACGATGGCAGGGTCACCATACTTACTTAAATAGAAGAATATGTGGTTCTGGCTCGTGCACTTCATAATGTTCCCAACCCAAGCTCTGATAAAGGTATTAGACCTCTTACAGTGATAAATTTGTTCGACCTCTTTTTACGTACTTGTGTGATACCAAGTGCTCGCCATTCATCCTCCCACAGTAGTTTTAGCGTTCCCTTTGAACTGTCAAAATAGTCTGCAGGGATTTTCTTGAGCATGTTTTTGGGAAGTTGGACATGGCGGTATTCGAACTGGTCATCTGAGTATCTGTGTTTACTGTAAGGTCGAGGCACACCAAAAGATTGTCGCTTGCCTGCGGCATACCTAGCTGAATAATGGATAGAATCAATGAACTCCTCTAGTCTCTCCCGTTCAGATTCTAGCAAAGGGCGGGGCTTTTTATTCCTTCTGCTCAGATCGATGTCCATCTGGAAAAGCGGGGGTAGCGGGGCAGACACTATCGGAATCACTGCAGTCGGATTGCTGTTAGAGAAAATAACATCGAATCGTACATTGTTGCGATTATTGAGAGAAAGTCCCAGCCTGTTCTTCACAAACGGTCCAAGCAGACACTTACAAGTAAATAGTCTTTTGGTAGCAGAGTGAGGAAAAGCGAATGGGTGACAGGACTTCGAGTCTCAAAGAGATGCAAATAACGTTGTGGTGACGACTTGTCGAAATATGTCTCTTCTCACTGACCTCTCAAGTGTATAACAAGCGAGGTGTAGATCGAAGCTGTCTTGGTTTAAGGGCGTAGAAAGAGCCTCCATTAAGATGTCCGAGCAGTGACTCTTCGACTGTTTGGGATACAAGTGGAGTAGCTACCCGCTTTAGTGCCTAAGGTATCAAGAACTGATGCTTGGACTAGATAGCTGTAGGCTGAATTGTGTTTTTATCATACCAACCATGTACAAGTCAAGGTCATAAGGGGCCTACCTTCGCTGAAAGATTGGAGGAGCACAGTCGGACCCTTTGCTGCCTACTCTTCTCTTTCCAACACAATTTTGTCAAGGATCGTGCGGGCTTACTGGACGGCTTATACGAGAAATTTTCTACACTCACAGTGTGATAAACCAAATCCGATTAATCGTATGGTAAAAGCTTTTGTGAAGAATCTTAGGGAACAAACTTGCATACTGAACATGGAGAAGGGAACCAAAATCCTAGTGAAGCATAGTCAACACTTCTCGACAGGTACTATTACCCAGTGCCCCAATCTGAGTACTACTATCGACTAGTAGTAAAGAGCGAAGAAAGAATCGCCTGATTATCTAAGAAGTGAAGTCCAGCAGCCAACCAGGGCTTGAAACCCAGGTTTAGCTCAGCCGAGAACGCGCCAAAACCGGCAGTCCTCGAAGAAGCGGATTGGGTGAGAAATGAAGGGGCAAAAAAAAAAAAAAAAAAAAAAAAAACGAGGAAGGAAGGAAAAATTGCAAAGTGGGTTTCTTTTTTTTTCATCCAAATTTTAACCGCTCCCACTCCAGCGCCTGGGGCAAAATTTATTTAGTCTTCCTCTCCTCCAACAATCGTCCTGCCTTTTGGCATCATTTCAATTTTTCTATCCTATCTGTCTTAAGACATACACATTTGTCAAAATGGCCGACGAAGTTTACGAAGGTGCCATCGGCATTGATCTTGGTGAGCCATTTCCCTACCGTGTTGTCCCAAGTAATGACTGACGAGATATTTCAGGAACCACCTACTCTTGTGTGGCCAACTACGAGGGTACCAATGTTGAGATCAGTATGTCGTTACCTGTGTCCTCTAGTCACGGCGCTGGTGAGCTTATAAACATGCAGTTGCCAACGAGCAGGGTAGCTACACTACCCCATCCTTCGTTTCTTTCACCGACAAGGAACGCTTGATCGGTGAAGCCGCGAAGAACCAGGCCGCTATGAACCCTACGAACACCATCTTTGACATCAAGTAAGCAGCTTTTCGCTGGACATATGTTCACTATTAATCAAATACAGGCGTCTTATCGGTCGGCGGTTCGAGGACCCCATTGTCAAGAAGGATGTTGAGTCCTGGCCCTTCAAGGTTGTTGATCAGGGTGGAAACCCCGTGGTTGAGGTCGAGTATCTTGGCGAAACCAAGACTTTCAGTCCCCAGGAAATTTCTTCTATGGTTTTGATGAAGGTAACATTCCTGTTCATCCCAATAACGCGGAATTGCTTGCTACATTCCCTCTTGCGATACTGACAGATCACTATAGATGAAAGAGGTTGCCGAAACCAAGCTCGGAAAGAAGGTCGAGAAGGCAGTCATCACCGTGCCCGCTTATTTCAACGACAACCAGCGCCAGGCTACTAAGGATGCTGGTGCCATTGCTGGTCTCAACGTGCTCCGTATCATCAACGAGCCCACTGCAGCAGCGATCGCTTATGGCCTTGGCTCCGGCAAGTCTGATAAGGAGCGTAACGTTCTCATCTACGATCTTGGTGGTGGTACTTTCGATGTGTCTCTCCTTAACATCCAGGGTGGTGTCTTCACTGTCAAGGCTACTGCTGGAGATACCCACCTTGGTGGTCAAGACTTCGATACCAACCTCCTGGACCACTTCAAGAAGGAGTTCCAGCGTAAGACTGGCAAGGACCTCTCCGGTGACGCGAGAGCCCTCCGTCGTCTCAGAACCGCCTGCGAGCGTGCTAAGCGTACTTTGTCCAACGCTACCCAGACTACTGTGGAAATCGACTCTTTGTTCGATGGCGAGGACTTCAACTCTTCTATCACTCGTGCTCGTTTCGAAGACCTGAACGCCAAGTCTTTCTCGGGTACTCTCGAGCCTGTGCAGCAGGTTCTCAAGGACTCTGGCCTTGAGAAGAGCAAGGTCGATGAGATCGTCCTCGTTGGTGGTTCCACCCGTATCCCTCGTATCCAGAAGCTGCTTAGCGACTTCTTCGATGGCAAGAAGCTTGAGAAGGTAAGTGCTACTCTCGCCATCTGTCTAACAAGTCTTGTCCTAACGAATTTGAATTAAAGAGCATCAACCCCGATGAGGCCGTTGCCTATGGTGCCGCCGTCCAGGCCGGTATCTTGTCTGGAAAGGCTTCTTCGGCTGAAACCCAGGACCTCCTCCTGCTTGATGTCGTTCCCCTTTCTCTCGGTGTTGCTATGGAGGGTAACATCTTCGCTCCTGTTGTGGCCCGTGGTCAGACTGTCCCTACGATCAAGAAGCGCACTTTCACCACCGTTGTCGATAACCAGACAACCGTGCAGTTCCCCGTTTACCAGGGTGAGCGTACCAACTGCGCTGACAACACCTCTCTGGGAGAGTTCACCCTCGCTCCCATCCCCCCCATGAGGGCTGGAGAGGCCGCTCTCGAGGTCGTTTTCGAGGTTGATGTCAACGGTATCCTCAAGGTTACTGCTACCGAGAAGTCCTCTGGACGTAGTGCCAACATTACCATCTCCAATGCCGTCGGCAAGCTTTCCACCACTGAGATTGAGCAGATGATTGACGGTACGTTTGACGCAGTCAGAGATCGATGCAGACATACTGACATTTTCTAGACGCTGCGAAGTTCAAGTCTAGCGATGAGGCTTTCACCAAGAAGTTCGAGTCTCGCCAACAGCTCGAGTCCTACATCTCGCGTGTTGAGGAGATTGTTTCCGACCCCACCATGTCGCTGAAGCTGAAGCGTGGCAACAAGGAGAAGATCGAATCGGCACTCAGCGATGCCATGGCTCAGCTTGAGATCGAAGACTCGACTCCTGAAGATCTCAAGAAGAAGGAGCTTGCTCTCAAGAGACTCATCACCAAGGCCATGGCCACTCGGTAAACAAATCTCTGCGATCCTATCATGCTCTAGGTGCGGCACCATACAATTGCCCTTGCCTCTATCATTCACCCTTCAGTCCCACCATCCAACTTGCGCAAAGTGACCGATTTCTTTGCTTCACCTTAGATTGGAGACCTTAACGTCGTCTACGGAATTTCCTTTTAGATGAGGCGTGTTTATTCATGACCGGGTACAAAATTGCAAAAAGTAATTTACGAAAATTTTATATATGAACTTATTTATCATCTTAATGCTCTTCTTACGTATGACTGCACGAGCCCTTTGCCAAACCAAAGTGTATTGCCCCTATAGACATTGCCTCTGTATTTCCCGCACCACCGTTAGACTTTGAGAAAGGCGACTTGTTAGAATTGCCATTTGAAACTGCCTTCCATAACCATTTTGTAGGTCGTCATAGCTACCATGGCGAGCTGCTTGTGTTCTAAATGTACTAATCTTGTAATTTACTACGCGGAGACATCGGTGGCTCGCTAGGAGACGCGTGATCAGGAAGTGGCTCTGTTCCCTTTGCCTCGGCAGTGTATCTTACCAAATCCTACCAACCTCGTCTATAACTATTCTTGCGCGCAGTTTGCTTCGAGCAACTGTACCCTGCGGGATTTCTTATTACTGATAAGCATATAGGACCCATACCCAACAAAATCGGGCATCTGAAAAGCAGAAGAAGAGCGAAAATGCAACGCCGTGCGGCAGTTACCGGCCTCAGTTATATGCGTCGCTGCTCAACGTTTACTGGATTGCGCTATAACTTGATTTCTGAGCATCAACTTCGGCCTTGGACTCAGCATAAGGTAGCACTTCCGTCTGACAAAAGAAGCTTTTCCAGTTCGCCTTTTTGGTGTAAAAAGAAGGACAAGACGAAAGCTACATCTGGTGCAGATTCTGGGAAGCCGTTGCCAAAAGTAGGCGCAAGTTCTGAAGACCCGCATGATTTTTCACAGCTGCATGATGGCATAGCGGCTGCCCTGTCTCGACTCAGAGACGAGCTCTCTAAGATGCGTGTGGGGGGGAGGTTCAATACCGCATCAATTGAGAGTCTTCGTGTGCAGCTGAACAAGAGCAGCAAGCAATCGATCAAGCTGGGCGATCTTGCCCAAGTTGTTCCTAAGGGTGGACGGATGGTAACTATTTTGGCCTCTGACGAAGATGTGAGTTACTGACTGGTGCCTTGAAATTGTCTCTACTATCGTGAAGCCGACAAATTCTCTCAATATTTTTCGAGTCTTGTTCTGACACAGACTGTCTTTGATATAGCATGTGAAGCCCATTCGATCGTCAATAATTTCCTCCAACTTGTCGTTAACTCCGCAAGCCGACCCTCACAATTCTCTTCAGCTCAACGTCACGATCCCCCCACCGACTAAAGAGTCTCGGGATCAAACGATCGCTCTGGCAAAGGCGGCAATGGAGAAAGCTGCCGGTGCCGTCCGTGATTCACGCAGTGCTGTACATAAACGTCTTCAGGATTTGCAGAAAAAGAAGATTGCCAGGCCAGATGACGTTCGGAAGGCCCAAGAACAGATGGAAAAGCTTGCAGAGAAAGGTCAGAAGGAAGTGAAGGAACTGTTTGAGGCTACAAGGAAGGCTATGGAGCGGGCGTAATGAGGAAATACACTGCTGAAAGACCAGCTTTGAGTGAACTCAAATGGTGATATGAACACGAGTTCTGTAACTTATTTCAGAGAGTAATGTATTCTACAGTCACTTGCAAGGCATAAATGTAAACAATGACAAAGATAACAAGGGATCATGAAAAGCTGCAAAAGTATAGGTACATAGTAAGGATACTGATGGTATCAGAAAACAAGGTTCTCAGGGGCGTTTTGTCATGCGACTGGCGGCTAAAAGCGAGTCCAACTTCGCAATGAACGCAGAGGATTTGCCGACTGTGTGATACGTTGCATTGTTTCTGAGGTTTTCAGAGACACTGTCAACGATTGAGAGGTTGTCCGCCTGTTTGGCTTTAGACTTAGGATAATTGCCCTGAACAAGAAGTCCAAGAAGTGAGCCTTGGTCCTTGGTGTTGAGTGGACTGAAGTTGACATGACGTGGTTCCACAAGATCGCCTTTTCGCTGGGACAACTTGTCTGCGCGTTCTTGCGATAGCTTGTTCGCTTCAGAGATGGCCTCAGCTTTTTCCTCCTCACTCGAAAAGCGGACAAATTTGCCCTGATAAAGTCGCTTGCCCAGCTCATTTGGAGGTACATAATCATTTGCGTAGCGATCGCCGAATAGAGACAACTTCTCAACGACTCCGGCAGTATGAGCGTCAATGTCGGTGGGTAGAGATGGCCATGTTTCCTTCAGTGAAGCTAAGGAGATCGACTCGGGATTGTACTGGACAGGCTTGGGCGCCGCTTGTTCAGCGAGTTCTCGGAAGACAGCGTTGATCGAGGCTTCATGGAATGCTGAATTGGATGTTGAATCTTCCTGGCCGGACCTCTCGGTGCGTCGAGAACGGCCTGCTCGCCCATCTCTAGATTGAACCTTCTTCTTTGGCCCAGCTCTAGGGCCCCGAGAAGCGGTGGATCGGTTGCCTCGAGGATTGCGAGCCCTGGGATTCTTAAGGATGTTTGCTGGTTGGCCAGTGGCTTGAGAGGCGGCGAGAGATCTCGCATCTACTATCCGTCGGGGACGAGGTCGTTCTTGGTTGACGCTCCGAATGTTCAGGTTCGCCGGCGGAATGTTGTTTCTTCTGGTTTGCGCACTGGGACGTCCGGCGGCGGAAGAGGCTGCGGAACCCTCGGTTGCATTCGCATCTGCATTAGTTAGAAAGACGAGTGACTATGGTCTGAGATATGATAGTATTCCCGGACGATAACAACAAGTGTCCAGGACAGAGACCAGTTGAGGGGGGAAAGTAAGACGAGAGCAATGCAACTGTGAACTGGGCGGACGGAGACTATAGCGGAGCACACTTACTGGAGTGATTGTTGGAATCTTTTGCTTGTAAAAAAGTAGCCGAAAACCGACGAATTGATGAAAGAGTCCCTTCTATTGCCCTGGCACCCCGAGGGCGTAGAAGCACCATCCGTTGTTGGAGCATCCTTGTTGATGAATATCTAAGGCCTGGATAAGAGGGAGACTAAAAATGTTCGTTACCTCTAAATGCTACAAAGTCACGTGCTGCGCGACAGAAGCATACTCCAGACAACTCCCGTGGGAGCGGCAAGCCTCTCTAGTCACTACTCATTATTATCCTCATAGCTTCGGTATCACGATCAAATATGTTGCGTCGCAAACCCACCGCTATAGCTATAACCTCCGAAGACCTTGCGACTTTTGAACAATCACGGCTCCGACAGCTCTCCAAAGAAACTCGTACCGAAGGCCATGCCAGCACTAGCTCCAATGTCAATCTTGACCCCAGCGATGAGCTCAAGCCATTGCCAGGGGACAAGGCGAGAATAGTCCGCTCGCGTGAAGAGCGCATCGGCATCAATCGACGCAATTAACTCTCGAAGGGTTTGCCCAACACGTTGGCTTCTCCTGGCTACCAACTCATGCCTAGTATTTGGGCATCATCAGCACTTCCTGAGACCAAGAGAGCCCCGATTGGCAATGAATAATTCGAATGTCCTACACACATCAAGGTTTAGCCTTGCGCAGGCCAAATCCTCCTGCTACAAGTGCATAATTTACAGCAATATTATTACCCCCACAACTTGCGCATAACATTTCTTAAGTCTATTCTCGACGGCGTGCTTAGTTTGTAATCTATACTGCGAATCTTACACTTTTCACTATACCACGTATCTATTCCTGCCTGTCTCATAATTCCTTATGATTATAGTATCAACTGGGATCGTCATAGAATGCAATTGTATAGAGGCCACTGCAAGCCGATGGAGATTTATCTCGGTCGACTGAAGTGGCCCAACACATAATGCCAGAGTGAATGAAAACAATTTCACTGGGCGGACGCTCTGTTAAAATGCGGAGTGATAGACCATATGCCATTACAGCGTTGATTTGAAATAAGATCCTTATGCTACACAAGAGAAAAAGAGACAGAGAGAAGCAGTAGCTAAAAACTTTGAGCGTTGTGTGGTACTCATTTGGATAAGCTATCATTTGTACATGGAAAGCATGTCTGCTTTGGGAGCAAAGTAACATGACCAGCATACCTACAGGAACCAGCAACCAAAAAGACACGCCAAGGTGAAAAGAGCGAATATCTCTGGCGGGCGCTATAAATTGCAGCAACCAGGAACTCTAGAAGTGACCCCTGCGTTTTGAAGACAGCCCCGAGTCTCCCAGCTGTGCTGAATAGAACGCGTTACCGCTGGCGCTTTGAAGTGCCTTCGGTTCCTAGGTCGACTGAATAATTCCACCGCCGTTTGAGACCGTTTGGATCGTACACACTAGCTACACTTTGTTGCCAATCTCGCGCTGTGAACAAAACTTGTTGCCCAGTGAATTGAGTTTGTGGCATGGGAGCTGGCGCGACCGGGGTAACCTTTGATTGCTGCTCATATTGTACGGGGAAATGGTCAGGTAAAGAAGGTTGAACAGCCTGAGCAGGATTGCTCAGAGCCATTGGTGGGGAGTTTGTTGTCACAGTGGGTGTACCAATAGAAAATGCCATATCCCATTGACTACACGGTTTGTAACAGTCAGCGGCCATTTCTCGGGGTTAATATTTCTTTTCTTGGGGAAAGGGGTTCCTTACTTGATAATACGAGTAGGATCCCAGCTATTTTCATCAACCAAAGGCGCATTCATTCCGTGGGTGGAGATCGATTGGGAGGGGATTAATCCCAAGGGCTGGAGCTGAGAGGAATCGGACTTTGAATCTTCAGTACCAGCTGATATTGGAGGAGTTACAGGATAAGCTGCATAACCCACTCTACTTTGAACGCCAGGTACTTGACTGATTTGAGAAGCGTAATGTGAATCTATTGGCGGGCTTGGGTGATATGGCTCGGAGGGACTCCCATATGGGAAAGTTGGCTTCAAATCGAAAGGTCGGTTCACATCAGCTGAAAAGGCGAAACGCAATGAATCTATTTGCGCTTGTAACTCTGGCATAGGCCAAGCAGAAGAACAACGCTCAAGTATTCGCATGTGTCGTGTGAAGTATTCCCGCGCGTCCGTATGAAAATTCGGGTCTGGAGATGTTATGGCCACCTGTTGTAGCGTTAGCTGACCGTCAATACCATAAAAGGCCCAGAATCCTCACAAGGTGCAGCATTGTGCATGTCAAGATGGTGTATATTGTGAAATTTATGCCCCTTTGCATGAAAAGCAGGCCAGACAGCCCAAAGCGGTTCAGAATGGCTTCTTGGAGCCTACAAAGGTATTTTGCCGAAGAGTAGCATAACGCCATATGCATCTTCCAACCTCCCCCTGCCGCAAAAGATTTGGAGGCTATTAATTGTGGACGGTGCAACAGGATAATCCCAAGATGACAGTGGGAGTGCATATTTCCGACAAAATGTGATGGAATCCATGGTGGTGAGCCATCGGGAGGATAGTTGACTTGTAGATCCGGTGGTAAACTCTGAAGCCAGTCGGTAAAGAGAGGGTTCTTTTCAACGAACTTAGGATTAGCCCCCCAATCTTTTTGTTTCTTTATCTTATGATATATGTCGGCAATGATGCGAATATGGCGTGCATTCCGGACGAAGTACGCATATTGCCTTGACCGATCCATTTCGAACTGATCAAGGCCTCTGATATCCAAAGTTGGACTCGTATTTACTGTCTCATGGTCCACACCGTAATCGGAGCGCCCTGGGAATAGTCAGCCAGTATATATACTACGAGAATCAAAAGACGTACCCTGCGGCGCTCCTATCATGACTTCGACAACCAGGAGGGCCTGCCAGACCCGTGTCTGCACCAAGCATTCTACCGGATTCAAGTCGCAAGACCTGCCTTCCGTGTGGAGATTGTTATGTTCATGGATATCCAGATCTTTCGCCATGGAGATGATCGTTTTGACGGTTTGCCAAGAACGGTAATAATAACCTTTCTTAGGCCGTGACTCTCGGGCCTTCAACAGTAGAAGCAGAGCTTGTATCGTACTGAGGCGAGGTTCGTCCATAAAACTAGATTCGTGCCCTAACAAGATGATTCGCAGTCAGTATACGACGTGGCGTACAGGTGCGTGGGTATGTTTGTCGCCTCACTGTTTGCTAATGCGAGCCACTGTGCTCCTTGGGCCGGGTCGTCCGATAGCCTCCCTGCGCATGCAAATAGTGCCTCGAGTAGAAGCGGAGATATTGAGCTTCGTTCGTGTTGCCACTGATAGTACAGATGAGATCGATGGATGACAGGGACGTAAGGATGAATATCATCAAAATATATCTTGAAATAATTCATGACCTCGTCATCAGATGGCATGAGTTCGGGCGGGATGCGTATAGTGGCTCCAGCTCCGGTACTGAGAGGTGGTAACTTTTCGTCTACTTCATCCTGGGTCGGGATTTCTGGTTCAGCCCTTTCCCTTCGTTGCTGTCTGATGTACGGCGCTGAATCTATGTTAATACGTTCCGTCTGTAAGACACGTTACGAAGGCTAGAATAGCTCACCAATACCAGTCTCGTCTATCTTGAGCTCCCCTAAGACCTCGCTGAGGTTCTCTGCAGTGGACTGGTCGTGCTCACTGTATATATCACTTTCTGCGGTTCCCAGAGGCTGAGTTTGATCGTTGGAGAACATCTGTGACTGAGTGTATTGATGATGTGGCATGGCCACTTGGGGCGACCTCATGTCGTAGACATTTGGCTGGCCTGGAGTAGAATGCGCAAATTGTGGATAGATCCCGATGTTGTCATTATATGGGTGCATGCTACTCATTGAAGGTGGCCCGGAATCTCGATATGTTTGGGAGCTCGTATATGACGATAGTGAGGGTTCTGATGTGTTCGACGCGCCCAACGAGTCGACAGGATTGGTTTCAACGCTTTCCACTGCAGGATACTCGCCATCATGCCCAATTGTTGGAGGAACGCATACTAACTTCAAGCGTGTGCATGCCGAACAAGGCCACGTGTTTGTTGTAGCAGCATCACACTTGATCTTCCGTTTCCTGCAGCCATTGCAAGCTCGCATTACTGAAGATAGGCTCGTAATTAGACGCAACGAAGCCAAGTCCACTATCGGTCAAACATACCTTTGAGCCTCTTATGCCTGTTATGTTCATCAACGAATACATAGTCTGTATCAAAAGCGGTCAACATATAACTGAAGCAAGAGACGGGCAACATATTCAAATGACAAATGGTAACTACCGAGGGGGAGGGGGTCTTACTTTTCTGGCCTTCCCTGGGTGGGCCTGTCGGGGGTGTGAATGTGAAACCTTGCATCTTTGCAGGGACAGCGACACAAGCTATGAGGCAGCGCAAGAAAAAGTGGACCGGACCAGCATGCAACAATCTTCAGGTCCCGGAGAAAAAAAAAAGTCGAGGCAAAGGAAAGTATCCGCAGGACCTGCCTTATGCGGACGGAACCAATGTAGAATGTATTCTGAACCTTTCACTGTCGACTTAATGGGCGCTAGTAGGGTCTTCACACTATTGTAGCTTTAATCCCACACTTGCGCAATGGATCCCACTCCTGTTCTGAGTAGGGGAGAGGAGATGGGAAGGAGGTGTAACGAGTTGCGACCGAGAAGAACGATGCGGTAAGGTAGGAATATCTATCGTCAACGGCGGGAACAAGACAGCGTCATCCGGCGATAAAAGAGTGTGACCTGTGGTCTCTGTACTATGGTCTCCTGCATCGATCTGGTCAGTTTTCGGGTCATAGATGGGTGCCATAAAGACAGCGCAGCTATGGGTGTAGCGGAATGTTGAACCCTAGGAGTACTGGCGCGACTGACTGTTTCACGAAAGGTAAGCTTCAAGAGAAGGTCGAGTTTGCTGCGATCCCATTAAGCGGCGACAACTGAGACTTGGGAGCTCAGGGAAGGGAAAGATATGAGGAAGCTGCGATTATATATTACATGATGTCAGTTGTAAACGATGACAGAAGTGAGGACAAATGAAAGGTAGGGTATAGGGTAACAGTGAGAATCCGGGCTAGGGACGGAGAAAAGACTATCATTGAGGGCATAAATCGAGAGGGGAGGGAATAAGAAGGTGGCTTCCTGCATACGCCGGAAATACAAGAGCGGCCAACAGTGAGAGATGGGAAGAGATCCCCACGATATATGGTGAAGGGAACGTTAAGCAAGCGGGGGAGTTGTTGGTACCTGATATGTTGAGTTGAATGACTTTCATCCAGTCTGCATCGTAGACCAGTAACGTCAGTATGGAAATCTCGCCATTGACTTTGCACTATGAAGGAAGATAAAGTCGATTGGCGCATCACACTCGGAGGCGAAAGTCACCATCTGCATGAACCGGGAATTGTATGGAGACGGCTAGAGGATCAAAACGCCGGGCCTGGGGATGATGGGTAATTGCAAGAGCAGTACGGAGTAGCGGCTTGGAATAGCAGAGAGGCAAGAAGATAAGAGCATCAGGGGAATCGAAAGCCCACCGATACAATCAATGATTTTCCCGGATGGAAATAGGATCTCCGTATAGGAATAGGGAGGTTATGCCGGAAACTTGATGCGGTCTCCTTAGCTAAGTCATCACTCTTTGCCGCCTCATTCTCCTGGTACGTAGTTGAACCGTAGATATAATAGCAGGCAGTGTGGTTCGTAGTAGTGCACGGAGATCCGAGCGATCAGTCAATAATAAAGAGACGAGTGTGCGGAGACCCGACAACAGGGGTGGGTAAACACGCTCGATACCCTGAGGAGGAGTAGAAGCGGGCGCGTGGTGGAAGGATCTTTGGCCTGGCCTAGGTAAGAGGTATGCACCACTTTCTGAGGATCGTCTCGGAAGTTTGAGGGGCCTCTGGAACTAAAACCAACCTTTCCCCCCCGGTCACTCCCAGTGGCGCCCAAAGTAGTGTGTCTTCATATAGGCCTCATGGCCGTCGGTTTAATGGGACCGCGGTCCCCCCTCCTCGTCCCCTCCACGGGAAGGACGATCCCTAGTTAAAATCGGGTTTTAAAAGGATCTTGATCTTCTTGACCTTGAAAATAGTGCCCCGAACTACGGATTGCGACGTACAGCTATTGATTTTCATTAGGGGGTTTTTTTTTTTTCTTTTTTTCTTTTTTTCCCCCCTTCCCTTTTCCCTTTTTCTTTCTTTCTTTTCTTTTTTTTCTGCGCGTATTGTGTGATTTCAGTATTTATTTTGGTGCTTCGGTATATTGTAGTACTACTAGACTTCCCCCGCTCATGCGTACTTAATTAATACACGATCCACGCCCTCGTGCGCGCTATCTAGTCCACCGTATCCAGTACCCATGTAGCTACTCTGTAGTAGATGGATAGTACCAGTTAAATAGACTAGACTAGTACTAGCAGCACCCTCCATTATGGAAAATGGCTTTCAATTACCTGTATGTACAAAATGCCTTGGTCGTAATGTGACACCGACCGTCTTCCCCCTCCGCCCCGGGTCCCTCTCCTCCCCATTTCCTTCAGCTGACGCCAATCTCAACATGTCAAGGACTAGAAAGTGTCTTGATTATTTCCTCAAAACAAAAATAATATGACTCCCAAGGCTGAAGCAATGGGTATGGTATCACCAGAAAGCTTTCCGATCCTGCTTGTCTGAGTGGTAAGCTTACTGTTTTACTGTTTCCCTTATGCACGGCTAATGGTTACGGTACTGTTCAAATTAGTACCTACTATGACACAAGCTACGTATGAACTATGGAGGACCTTTGCGGAAGTAATTCGCCTGGGGCCATTAGTTCCAATTATTATCAAGCAACTCAATAGAAAGACATCCCCCAAATAACCAATCAATTAGATAGCAGTGATGCGTCATTCTTTAAAACAAGCCATCCCCCTCCCCTCCTCCTCCTCCTCCTCCTCCTCGCCCGCCCAGGAAACACAACAGCTCGCTAGGGCGGGGACTTCTTGGTCCTTTGTATGCGACTAGTAATCGCTGCTGCTGACTTAAATTTGTTACACTCACTGGATCTAGAACCTTCATCACCTATTGGTAGCTGCCTAGACACAAGTAGGCTATGATGTTGATGGTATTTTGAAGCATTGACAGCATCGTTAAATTCATACTTACTGCGTTAGCGCTGCTGTATTCGGAAAAAAGTCATTTGAATTGTTGCAGTGCCTATGTACACTGGAGTACTCGAAGGGCTGGTCCGCCCACCCGAAGTTGTACTTTGCCCACCTGGTTGATGTCCATACGCACTTCTTAGGTATCTGCACGCGTTTGGTTCTGCTACCGATGTAGTGGTTTCCCTCTTCCTCCTTAGTCTGACCTTCTATTCTCTCTGATTTCTAAATTCATAAAAACAATTCATAAAAAAAACTAGTATAGATTAAAGACATAAAAACTTGCTTGGGTTTCATCTGTCATTGGGCAACACGCACCGAGAAGCTTTGTCTTTTCTTTTGACCGATATCAAAAGCAACCATCAGGAAAAAGGTTGTTCCATTTCTTCAAGATACCGCATTAGTTGAGCATATGATGTGCTAGGGCTTACCATCCCCTCTTGCCTCCAATTTGCCCCTCTCGGTGCTTCTTGCGCGCTTTTATCGATAACCACTTGTATACAGCATAAGCGATCATGGAGTCCTCGATGCAAAATTCGAATCCGACTATTTTGAATGCTGCAGATCTTCCCACCCGTCTGCGTCCTTCATCATGCAAAGCGGGCACTTACGGAGGCGGAATCCTTGCGTCAGCGCTCCCCTCTCTAGCGGATCCCACCAACTTCAGTCTGAGTGAATCGGAAGAGTCTGATGAAGATGTTGATTTGATGGAAGAGCCGATTGATGAACAGGAGATCTACGGTAAGCCTCCCGCTTGTTCCTAAACAAGGGGACCGAGTCGCCCGGGAGCCGATTACCTGACAATCTCTCAGATCTTGTGTCGACCATATCCGACCCCGAGCATCCCATTTCACTTGGAGCTTTGGCAGTCGTTTCGCTGCCTGACATTTCTATCAAACCAACCTTGCCGGATGTACCGAGCTCGCTTCTTCGGACAGTATCCGTTCTCATAACCCCGACGATAACACATTGCAGTCTGGCCACAGTTATAGGTCTTGGTGTACGAGTTCGATTGGAGCAATCATTACCTCCGCGTTTTCGTGTGGATGTCCGGATCAAGGAAGGGACACATAGCACTGCCGATGAAGTGAATAAGCAGTTGGCCGACAAAGAAAGGGTGGCTGCTGCACTGGAAAATGGTACGCTAATGGGCGTCATCGCAAAGATGCTCGAAACATGCCAATAATTCGATTGTACTGCTATCCGGGCGCCGTTTATGACCCTCGTCGGCGTCTCTACTATGCCATAAAAATACCCGTTTCGATGATGACTCGATTTGACTTCCGATAGTTATACAACAATATGAAAAAAGGAACAAGAGCCACTTACGGCGCTTGTTGCCGCTTCTTTCCACCTATCGACAAAAAATAGCTCAGGAGTCTAAAACGCCACTTTCCTTCAAACCTTTCCAGAGCTCTGGTTCCAAAAACTTGCTGACAGTGACATCCTCAGCCAATCCTTTACGTCTCCGCGTTTTCAAAACGAAGTCGCGGGCTGTGGCCATGGCGGGCGCCATCTCTAAGGGCTTCAACTTGACATCGCGATCCAGTGGATCCCCTGGGACGACGCTCCACTTATCGAAGACTAGACTAACGGCAGCTTGACCCTGTGTATGGATTCGGAGATCTGTTTCAAACCCGAATGAATCTATCACGGGGATCAAACCACGAACGGAATAGAGTGGAGTTCCTGCTATGGGTCCATCGGAGAGTACATGGCCCCTTCTTCTTGAAAGGACTGTGTACACTGATGCGACAGCGTCCGCCGGTCCAGTCATCGTGCAAGAGTAAATAGGTTCCATTAGGCGTGGTGATGCCATGAGGAAAGATGAGTAAATCGCTCGTCGAGCTGTGGGGATGATTTGACCACCACCCCTGTAAATGGCTTGGTCGGCGAGAGAAACGTCGGTGAGCCTGAATTTCGCATTCCGAATGGCTATTCTTGCAGTTAGTCACAATGAACCGCTCTTCTTCTGCTTCTATAGCGATATAACCCCCCTATGCGTAGGATCTGGGTGCTATAATTTTCAAAACATTCAAGGGAAGCATGGTGCACTCACGTTCTTCGCAAAGAGGACCTTCTCGTGTTCCCCAAGTAAATCCTTGCGTGATAGAATCTCTTACGCTCCCAAGCAACTTCTTGTCGATCTGCGATGGTAGCGTATCATCCTGTAAGATGTTGGGGCCCATCTCGTCTGGACCGAAAGCCCAGATACTCCTGGCTGCAAGTTTGTCCCAGTCGTACCGCTCTTCGAAAAAGCGCGACACTTTGCGAATCGGGTCTTTGATATTGACAGCACCGCTCTCGATATCCTCGGCGATCCCTTCATCCAGAGGCTCTGCAATCATCGTGATTTTGTTCTTCTTGTTTGGCGTGATGGAATAACACATGATAGCCGAGGTCTCCACAACAGTCTCGCAGAAGCGTGTAACAGGATCTGAAACCTTGATCTCCATTTCAGAATATAGTCTTCGTAGGTCATGAAGCACGCAGTCCATATATAGCTCGCCCGTTCCGAGAACTACATGCTCGCCAGACTCCTCCACTTTTGTGGATATCAGCGGGTAGCTTTTGTTGACTTTTCGGAGACCCTCAAGCATCTTGGGCAATTCCGACGGATTAACTGGCTCGACAGCAACCTTGAAGACGGACTCTGTTATATGCCGAACTGATCGGAAGATGTATGCATCCTCATCGTCTTCCAAGGTGAGAGGCACGATAGTCGCCGTCTTCACAATAGAGTTATCCACACCTCCTAGAAGAACCAAGTTGCCGGCAGGTACGCCGCTTGTTGGGATGTTATAGCAAGACTCAGCAATCCATGTGTCGGAAATGGTCGCAACAACCATGTCTTCTTCATCTTCGGGGGTATAACCTTCGCCAAGGACACGGACCTGTTGGCCAGGACGAGCTGTGCCGCTCATTATCCTGCCAAAGGAGTGAAATTTTGAACCGTCCGAACTGTTAAAAAGTTTAGTAACATGTACGACCAGTGGACCATCGGAATCACAGGCAGCCATAGCTGCCGCCACCTTAGAATCGAGAGGCCCAGTGTAGTACCGATCAAGCTTCTTTTGAGCACCCTCTGCAGGCGAAGGCACATGCTGGAGAACCATGTCCACAAAGCCTGTTGCTGACCCGAAGAACTGTTCACAGACAAGGTTCAGCAAAGTCTTTGCATCTGTCTTGAGCTGTGACGGCTTAAGACTAATACCAACGCTAGAAAGCGTTTCCTTTAAGTCCTCCGGGCTCTCGCTTAATGTGTGCGAGTAAAGTTTGTATATGGGCTCGAGAACAAATTGAACAAACGTTCTTTTAGAACCTTCTTCCACTCCCTTTCGTGTGAATTTTCGACTCTTCGGATTGAAAAATATATCGCCCCATAGGCGCAAACAAAATGCGGCTGCTTCAATTTGTGGATGCGTCTCAGAATACATCTTAGCAAATGAATGCAACGTGAAGCACCAGCCCATGGAGGCGCAAGCAAAGGCGACGTTTCCCTTCTCGGGGCTCAGCCGCCTTGCAGCGCCCTGTCCAGGCAGTACGTTCTCGATGATAGTGTTGACCTCCTCGATCACATGTTTCAGCTTGAAATAAGCGTCGTTCGGAGGGATCTTTAATTCCAGGATTAGTCTGTCCATCTTGTTCACAACCAATGTAAGCGGCAAGTCTTCAAGGATAGCATGCTTGATTATTTGCTCGGTGTTGGCCTGGACACCTTCGACCACATCTACTACAAGAACCACGCCATCGACCAACCGACAAGCAGTAGCCACCTCGTCCACAAAGTTCACATGCCCGGGGGTGTCAATGATATTAAACAAGTGAGATTTGCCCTTTGTGCCCTGAAGCACCAAGCTCATGGGTGACGCTTTGATGGAAAGACCTCTTTCTCTTTCCAGAAAGTGAACGTCGGTGTAGCGTAGTTGTTCCTCTTTCCGCTTGCCTGTCCGATTCTCGAGGCGACCGGTGAGATCATGGGTCTGAGTGACTAGCATGTCCATGAAAGCCGTTTTTCCATGGTGCAAATGACCGACGAGAGCGATGTTTCTTGTTTGGTCCGGGTAGCTGAGCAAATCCGTCATGAATTCCCGTGAATAATAGACGGGAGGCAATTCGGCTTCTTCAATCGCAAACTTCTTCTGTTGGACCGGGGCGATGATGGGCTCGGACAGAGGCTGTGCATCCTCCTCCTGCACCAGAGTCTCGACATCCTCGCCATATACCTGTTGTGCACTGGGATAGTATTGTTTATCTTCGTGAAGGATGACCGCGTTCGACGGGCCCTCTGTGACTGGTATCAGTAAGGCGGACCTTGCTAACGAGGTGAACATGGAAAAGGTAACTCTACCATCGACATCCATTAACTGTTGCTCATCAACGTCATGCGCTTCATCGTCGTCACCATCCCCGAACGCCTCTTCAAAAGCGAAAGCCTGAGGATGGGCATCCTCATGACGCGGGGACTCCTCGTCCGACCCATCTACCTCTCCAATATAGTTGCCAAACCTGCCGGAAAGCGAAGAGAATAATCAGCCGTGCGCAAGGTGGGATGAGGGGCATGGTGACCAATTGAGACATACTCATCGTAAAGATCGTCCATTTTCCAACGTGGTTGGACTAGAGGCGAATCTTCCGGGGTTTACTTTTCCTTTCTCTCGGCCTCGTCCACCAGCTGGAGAGAGAGGCTCGCGTCGGTTTGGCGATAAGTTTCTAGTAGCTCCGGGACCGAGCTTGGCGTGTTTGCATGGCTCCGGCAAGTTACTCCGAAAGTAGTACGTTTGTCCGTGGCTGCCAGTGGCCGCCGCCCCGCCTCCCGAGGCGAAAAAAATAGGGTAATTATTATTGTTGTAAGGAGGGGCCGGCGGCGGGCAGGCCAACGAGTGACTGACTCGGAAAGCAAACAGTTCATCCCGTTCGTTCCCTCGTGGCCTGAGCTACCATTTCACCCTCATTTGTTATTTATTCAAATAGCCTGCCGGTCTGCCTTTTTAACTCTTTCTTTTTTTCCCTCATCCCCTTTCCGAAACCGCTTGCCTCTAAAAGCACGCATTTGCGCCACCATGTCTTCCCTACCTCCGGTCTACATTGTCTCCGCCGCCCGCACTCCAGTGGGCTCTTTCCTGGGGTGAGACTTCACACCGGGCCGCCAGCAGGCTCTCAGATAAATGGTCCACGGCGAAGCTGATCCTAGTTTCCTTGTTTCGCAGTTCTCTCTCGAGCCAGACCGCTCCGCAGCTGGGTTCCCATGCGATCAAAGGTGTGCCTGTAGTGCTGAAGCGATGGATGATGTGCCCCTGATCGCTGACTGCTTCGATGTCTAGCTGCCCTTAACAAAGCCGATGGGATCAAGCCTTCCGATGTACAGGAGGTTTTCTTCGGCAACGTTCTTTCTGCGAAGTGAGTTTTCTCGCTTGCTGTGTTCATAATTACCCTTTGCCATGATGCATGCTAATGGTCCTAATCAATCAGTGTCGGACAGAACCCCGCCAGACAATGCGCTCTTGGCGCCGGACTCGACGAGTCAACCGTTTGCACCACTGTTAACAAGGTCTGTGCCTCGGGCTTGAAGGCAGTCATTCTTGGTGCTCAGACCATCATGACTGGAAATGCAGATATCGTTGTTGCAGGCGGTACTGAGTCCATGTCCAATGCCCCGCATTACCTTCCGAACCTCCGCAATGGCGCCAAGTATGGCCACCAGAGCTTGGTGGATGGTATTATGAAGGATGGCCTGACAGATGCGGGAAAGCAGGAGCTTATGGGTCTGCAGGCTGAGGAGTGTGCTCAGGATCATGACTTCACCAGGGAGCAGCAGGATGAGTATGCTATCCGGACCTACGAAAAGGCCCAGGCTGCCCAGAAGGCCGGCCTCTTCGACGAAGAGATTGCACCTGTTGAACTACCCGGCTTCAGGGGTAAGCCAGGTGTCACCGTCGCTCAAGATGATGAGCCCAAGAATGTGAGAACTCATTTCCCCACGTGAGGCATCCTTGGTCCAGATCGTTCATGTCAAACTGACTCTTTGGCTTTTATCTTCTAGCTCAACCCTGATAAGCTTCGAAGCATCAAGCCCGCTTTCATTCCTGGCTCTGGAACCGTGACGGCCCCCAACTCCTCTCCTCTTAACGACGGCGCTGCCGCTGTTGTCTTGGTTTCCGAGGCCAAGGTTAAAGAGCTGAACCT